CAAGCAAGGTTGTGTCATCTGCATAATGCAAGTTGTTGAGTCTTTCTCCAATCCTAATTGACATATTTCAACAAAAAGACACTGTCTTGGATGTGCTCACCAAGTTGTGCCAGGAAATCTGGAGGAAAACCACCTGGCCAACTGACTGGAAGAGATCTTTATTTGTTCCCATTCCAAAGAAAGGTGACCTGACAGGGTATGGAAATTTTCAAACAATATCATTAATATCACATGCAAGCAAGATTCTGCTGAAGATTACCAAAAAATAACTGGAACAGCACATCAACCGAGAACTACCTGAAGTTCAGGCTGGGTTTAGAAAAGGGCATGGCACTAGGGATATTATAGCTATTGTTAGATGGATCTTGGTTGAAAGCAGGGAGTTCCAGAGAAATGGCTATCTGTGTTTCATTGACTATGCAAAGGCATTTGACTGTGTGGATCACAACAAATTGTGACTGACTCTGAGAAGAATGGGAATCCCAGAACACTTGATTGTCCTTCTACAAAACCTATACGTGGACCAGGAGGCAGTTGTCAGAACGGAGCAAGGAAACACTGCATGGTTCAAAATTGGGAAGGGTGTACACCAAGGATGTGTCCTATCCCCATACCTATTCAATCTATTTGCAAAACAAATTATCTGGGAGGCTGGGGTCTATGAGGAGAAATGTGGCAGCAGGTTTGACTTTACACACTATGTCACCAAACTATAGCAGGATAGAAAAAGCAGAAATCGGTAGAATAAGTAAATGAAATTTTCCACTTTTGGTTGCCTGCTATGAAGGTAATCAGATTATTGAGTAGGGAATAACTATACTAAAGAAGACTATTCTGAGTAGATGACATTTTATTTGAGAATGAAAAGATGATGAAAAAGCTATCTCTGCAGAAATAAAGGATTCATAGAGAGGAATATGTGCAAAAATGAGGTAGGAGCAATTGCAGCACATCACAGAAACATCAGGGTGACTAACATGACTGAAGCTTCGTAAGCAAGGAGAGTGGGAAAGGGTGAAGCTTGAGAGGTTGGTGTGGGGGACACGAGTAGAAGTTAACACTTAGATTATGACTTTTTTTCAGTCAGTGTGGTCAAAATAGCATTAGAGAGAAGTAGATGACTTAAAATATATTTTGAAGGTATAACTGATAGGACTTGCTGCTGGAGTAGATACTGACAGATGAGAAGGGCAGATTTCTCATTATACCAAACTTCTAGATTTAGCTTGAGGAACGGGATATAGGGTGTTGATGTTATATGCTGTTGCCTCACTTGTGACTTATAGCAACCCTATTTATAATAACTCTGAAACCTGCCCCAACCTGAGCCAATCTCATTGTCTCTTGACAGACCAAACCCACTTCTCCAGTCACTGAGTCAATCCATCTCATCCTAGTCTTCCTCTACTCTGCTGTCCCTCTACTCTTCCAAGCATGATGTTCTTCTCCAAGAACTGGTCCCTCCTAGCTGTGTGCCCAAAGTATGTGAGACAGAGTTTCACAATATTTGCCTCCAGAGAGCAGCCTGGCTTCACCCTCTCCAGGACAGACCTATTTGCTCTCCTGACAGTCCATAGTATGTATGTTCAATATTCTTCTTCAGCACCACAACTCAAATGCATTGATTCTTCTTCTATCATACTTAGTCATTGCCCAGCTCTCTGACACATATTAAGTAAGTACCAAGGTCTTGGCCTGTATCGGGCGCAACTCACTCTCCACATTAAATTGCTTACTTTTCAGTATTCCAGCGAGGTCCCGACAGCAGACTTTCCCAATGCAATTCATCTTTTGATTTCCTGACTGCTGATTCCAAGAGTGTGGAACCAATCAAACTGAAGTTGTTGACAATTTTAATTTCTTCTCCATCTACCATAGTGCTGCAGTTTGACACAGTGGTGAGAATCTTTGTTTTCTTGATGTTGAGCTTCAATCAGTATTGAAGACTATAGTCCTCAGCCTTCTGCAGCATATGCCTCATGTCCTCCTCAGTTTCAGCAAGCAAGGTTGTGCCCTCTGCATAATGTAGGTTGTTGATGAGTCTTCCTCCAATTCTGATACCACATTCCTCCTCCTAAAGTCCAGCTTCCCAAATGATCTGCTCTGTGTGTATGTTGAAAATGTATGGAGATAGAATGCATCCTTGATATACACCTTTCCTGATCCTGAATCATGTAGTGTTTGCCTGCTCTGCTCTGACTCCTACTTCATGGTCCAGGTATAGGTTTTGCATGAACATAATTAAGTGTTCTGGGATTCCCATTCTTCTCAAGGTTAGCCACTATTTGTTGTGATCCACACTGTCAAATGCCTTTGTATAGTCAATAAAACACAGATAGACATTCATCTGGTTCTCTCTGCTTTTGGCCAAGATTCAACTAACTTTGGATGTGCTGTTCCTTGTGCCACAGCCTCTTCTAAAGCCAGCCTTTAAAAAAATGATGTATTTCCGTAGGCAATCTGCTGCAAAAGACTTCTTTAAAGTGTTACAAAGAAAAGTAGTCACTTTGAAGACTAAGGTATGCCTGACCCAAGCTGTGGTATTTTCAGTCACTTCATCTGCTTGTGAAAGCTGGACAGTGAATAAGGATGAACCATCCACTTGAGTGATAGTCTTGAAGAACATGGAATATACCATGGACTACTTGAAGGACAAACAAATTTGTCTTTGTATAAGTTCTCCTTACAAATGAGAATGACAGGACTACATCATAACTACTTTAAATGTGTTACCTTAAAGGACCAGTCTCTGAAGAAGGACATCATACAAGATAAAGTAGAGCAGGAGCAAAAAGAGAAACAGCCTTAATGAGATGGATTGACACAGTCATTACCAAAATGGGCTAAACATAGCAGTGACATTGAGGATGGCACAAGACTGGAAAATGTTTTATTTTGTTCTGCTTAGGGTAGCCCGGAGTCAGGTTTGACTAGACAACACGTAAGAATAAAAGTTTGGGGTGTTTCTTCACTGAAGCTTGAGATACAGGGAATTTTGGCTTAGTGAGGTGGAGAAAACTGGGTCACCCAAACTGGTATTGTTCACAGTCACCATAAATTACCATTGAAACAATTCTTCAGGCACCAGCAAAAGAGGTCTCTGTCGCCATCTGGCCTTTCAGGTTTGGATATGACAATGATGGATGGTCTAATCTAGAAAGATCCGCTCAACTGCTCAATCACACAGGTAAGTCTTACTGAAATTAGTTCTAGTTTTTTAGAAACTCCCATTATTACTTTCCTTTTTATTAAATTCATAAGTCACAGGAGAGTTTGCTGAGTCGTATACTGACCTCTTCAAAAGGGTTTCCTTTTTGTAAAGGCAGCTACAGGAAGATAAAGCTTCTATAACCACATCTGTCTATGTTTGAGAGCAATTTAGTGGATTCTGCACACAGTCTCATACTGAGGGTCTGCAGGGAATTCAGCCCACGATGTTATTAGAGCTGCCCCTGCTGGTGGCTCCTGTCACTTGAGAACTTTCCATTAGGGACCCAGAAAAGTACTGGATTAAATTAAAGGGCAAAATGGATCAGAATGATGCTCATTTGTGAAGCAATTTTCTTTCAAGAGTTTGAGGGCCAGTTTGTTTTGATTCTGTACCCTGAGTCTCTCACCTTTTTATGATGTACTGTTTAAACTATGTGGGAGTTGGATTTTGAGACTGGTAACATGGAGTGTGGAGCAAAATAAAGGGCTAGAAGGTTCTGCAAATTTCTTGCTGACAAGTGTGTTTCTAGTGACATTTCTGGCTCCATATGGTTACTCTGTTAGTGCAAAACTTCTTTTGACCGTTAGTTTTTATTTGGATTATAGACTTCTGAGGTATATCTAGCAAAGCTCTGAAAAACAAATCAACTTTTTAAAATTATTCACATGATGCTTTATTTTTTAATTGTGTTTTATACATTCACTTTATATAATCACTTATATATCTTATTTTTATTCATGCACACTTTGTTTTATGCCATCATTTCTATACATTGTGTTTTACAGAATAACTATTGCTCTATGACTCTTATCACCCCATCTCATCAAGTCTCCATTGCACCTTACCTGTTTTTTCACACACACTCCCCATCTGCCCACTAGTCCCTCTCTTCTTACTGCTATGCCAGTAATAGCTACCTGGGTGACTTAGGTGGTTTAAATGCTCAACTACTGGCCGAAGATTGGTAGTTGGACCCACATCCAGGTAGCTGAGAATCCAGGACTAATGATCTGCTTATGGAATAGCACAGCTCTGGAAACCTTTGGAGCCATTGTCCCCTGCCCATATAATTTGTCATGAGTTGGGATTGACTCAGTGACAAATAACTACCACATGCCCTAAAATAAAATGCTATATGCATGACTGTATTGTTTCTGAATATAAATTGTATATTTGAGAAATGTTAGGATAATTGAAAGTTTTTAGGGAAAAGTATTATGATTATTTGAAACTTTAGGGTGTTAATGTTTTTTGTCTTTTCTTGTCCTTCTTTGGGGTATTTTAAGTGTGCCCTACACAAGGGGAAAATTGCTTTGTTGTTCACATTTGGTTTTGATTTATGAGTAGAAGAAAGTGGTTAAGTGTCAAGAATAACTGATTTTGCATTATATGTTCAATCACTCTGCACATTCTTCCCCGGCACAGGTGCAGACTTCATAACGATTTTGGAGAGCGATGCTTCTAAGCCCTTCATAGGGAACAATGACTTAACCATGTGGCTAGGGGAGAAGTTGGGTTTCTATACTGACTTTGGTCCCAGCACGAGGGATCACACTTGGGGGTGAGTATCCCTTAGGAATTAATCCTAAATACAGCCCTGGAAGGCTGGTAGCACAGTTGTGGAGGGGAAAGTTGAGATTGCCATGACCTTCTTCAATGGATGTGCCCCAGAGATGCTTCTTGGGAAATTGCGGGTCTGATAGTGCAGCGTCCCTCTGCACTGGAGATCCTGAGCACAATTCTTAGCACAATTGGTGTGTCTCATTCGAAACTTCTTCCTCTGAGTCCCAAGAAAGTCAATTAAAACTTAGCTAGAACACTCCTGAGTTAGAGACCAATGCAGTAGTTCTCAGGAATGGTAGTCAGACAGTCACTGGAGAGTTCTGAAAAATTAGATGCTCGGACTATGTGTCAGGTCTAATAAATCAGAGTGTTGAATGGGATGAAAAGTGGAGGCTGAGCCGGAACATTTTTTTCTTTCTTTTTGTTGGTTTGCTTGCAAAGTTCATATACATTGTGTTTCACACTATTCTTCATGCACATTATGTTTTACAAAATTAATCACCACCTGTAAAGGTTCTGTAAAGCTCTCTAGTTAAGAAACCCTGTATGAAGAACAAGGACAGATTTTTACAAGTGACAAACTCTTTCATTTTAGAGGAAAGCAATTTTAAGAATAAGAAGTATAAATACAGCTGCAGACAATTTACTGTATCACATGCTCAGCTTTTGCTGAAGAACATTCTAAGCAGGGTACAGTTGAAGGAGTCTTTTGCTAGCTTTCCCAAAGAGATTCTTATGGTTTGGAGTTCAAGGTGGAATGAAGGTCAAATTACACTTTGCCATTCAGCCGACACCTTGGGAATGGAACTGTGGATTTGAGGCTGATTTACCTTATTAAAAATGAAAGATATTGTAATCCAAAGTATTTTTAAAGTTTCTTTTCAAATGTGCCTTCCAGAAAAATCACCCTGTCAAGTTAGAGGTTTAATTTTTTTTAAAAAAAGAATTAATTTTTAATGAGATGTAACTATAAGAATAAGCTCAAGTAAAGTTTAAGAGCAAGACTCCAGGGATGTTTTGGTGGCAGCTCAAAATATCCCTCCTTTCTTGGGCCAAACCATGATTGTATAGTACGTGGGCCACCCCTGCTGCTTCTTGTGACCTTAATTTTGCATGAGGTTTTCCAGGAAAGTGAGATTTTCTAATTCATTCACATTTCATTTTCTCCATATATAAAGATGTGTTAAAGGAGAAGGTAAACAGCAGGAACATATTTTTTAAATAAGTTCTTTTGTATTCCAGACTCTTTTGTCCTTGTAGAACACACTCGGCTGAGTAGATTACAACTCCCACTCTTAAGAGTTCACTGCATATCAAATAATTACTCAAGAACCTAATTATGAGAGATACAATAGAGACCAAATAAGGATTTTTCTGTTCTTTTTTTCCTTACTTACCTCTAGATGACTTAAATCTCCTACCATCTTCTTATCCACCTTTGCTTAGTTTAATCATTTATATCACTTGTTGTTGTTGTTGATTGCCTTCAAGTCCAGCATGACTCATAGTGACCCTATGAACAAAAGGCCTGAAGCCCCTCTACAACCATGAACATTTATCAAAGCTCATAGTTTCTGGAGGCGTGTTATTTAGGACGTGTATGCTACTCCTGCTTCCAAATATGAACTCCTGAATAGGTTCAGGACTGTGAAATGTCTTACTAAAAGACAATAGGTTCAAGATAGCCTTTTTTTTGGTGCTCTAACCTGATAGGGAGTTGTGCTGCTAAGCCAAAGGCCATGCCTCTCAGGCAGTTTGCATCCACCAGTGATTCTGTGGGATAAAGATGGGCCATCACTTCTGGAATAATTTTCAGCCTGCTAAAATCCACTGGAAGGAGAATTAGCTATGAATTGGTCCTGACTCCACAGCAATGGAATTTTTAGTTAAACCATTAATCTATAAATTTGTTGTGCTGTGGTATCATGTATTTTTCTGTGATGCTTAATACTATACTGCCAGCATTTCAAATACCAAAAAGGTCATCCATGGTGGACAGGTTTCATGGAATTTCTAAGCTAAAGACAGGAAGTTGTACTGGTCATCAACTTCTGAAAAATGGCCATTGAAAACTCAGAATAGTGGTGAAACAGCAGGATGGATAGCGGCTCTTGTGAACATCATCTGATGTCTTCTCCTATCTGAAGATGAAACCCTCAGGTTAGAAAGCACACAAACTCAAAGCAGACTTTAATAGCAGGAATGGAATGAAACTTTCACTCAATGAAGGCCTTTTATTTGATGTGGCATGAGTGAAAAAGAGTCACAGCTGCAAACATCCATTAATAATCAGAATATTAAATGTACAAAGTACAAAGTCTAGTAAGATTGGAAGTTGTCACAATGGAATTGAAATTAAATGTATAACAATCAATATCTTAGGCATTAGTGAGCAGAATTAATCCAATACTGGCCATTTTGCAACAGACAATGATATGGTCAGCATACTATGTTCAGCAGTGACAAACTGAGGCAGAATGTCATCCCATTCGTTATTAAAAAGAACATTTCAAGATCAGCCTTAAGATACAGTAGTGTCGGCTATAAGATAATACCCATACAAATTCAAAAAGGACCTGTGAATATGATACTATTCAAATTCCCCCCCCAATCACTACATCAAAGATTAAGAAATTGACAAAAAAAGTAAAGAATACCAGAAAAATAGAAAGTGCAAATGAAAAACACAAAGTAAGTGCTCAATAAATATTTGTTGTTAATTTAAAAAAAAAAAGGAATTGACAATTTCTACCAACTTCTGCAGTCTGAAATTGATCAAACATACAATCAAGATGCAATAGTAATAGCTGGTGATTGGCATGCAAAAGTTGGAAATAAAGAGTTAATAGTTGGGAAATGTGACTTTGGTGGTAGAAAAGATGCAAGAGGTCTGATAAAGAATTTTGTACAACCAACTACTTACTCATCGCAAACCTCTTAAAAAAAACATAGGAACAGCTGCTATACATGTAAATACCACCAGGGGGAATACACAGGCATCAAATCAACTATATTAGTGGAAAGAGACAGTGGAGAAACTCAGTATCAGTCAGAACAAGAAAAGGGGCTGACTGGGGAACACACCGTCACTTACTTATAAACAAGTTCAAGAAAATGAAAACAAGTCTGTATGAACCAAAATATGACTTCGCATATATCCCATCTGAACATAGAAACCACAGCTAGGATAGATTTGATGCATTGAACATCATCCATGAAGAAAGCAAAAGGTCTGGGAGGGATTGCATAGCAGTGAAAGAGTTTTTCTTTTACTTATCAAGGAGAAAAGTGAATTGGGGGGACAGGGAGAAAAATGCGACAGCAAATAACTGAAAACCCTACATCTCTGTAAACTTTCATGAAAATTAATAATAAAAAAAGAAAGCAAAAGGTCACCAGTAATACAGAAAAAGAAAGAAAAGACTAAATGGATGTCAGAAGACATTCTGAAAGTTGTTCTAGAACAGAGAGAAGCTAAAATGAATATTAGAAATTATGAAGGAAGACAATTGAACAAAATATTTTAAAGGGCTGATTGAGAAGACAAAATATTATAATGAAATATACGAAGACCTGGAGACACAAAACCAAAGGAAAGAACGTGCTCCGCATTCCTCAAGTTGAAGGAAGTGAAGAATAATTGAAGCCTTGAGTTGCAATACTCAATAAAGCATTCTGTGAATGGGCAAAATGTGAATATCACAAGAAGCATCAAAAGAAGATTGAAGGGGAGGAAAAGAAGATTGAAAGAATACACACTCTACCAAAAATATGCCCAGCCATGTTAAACATAGCATATGATCAAGAATCTTTGGTACTGAGAGGAGTCCAACCTTGACTGAAGGAATTGATGAGAGATTCCTACTATTGATAGAATACCAAAAACAAATGTTTCTACAAATAGATACAGCTCTGAATGTGCTTACTTGTTAATGCAAAGAAATTTGAAAGCTAGCTACCAGGCCAATGAATTGGAAGAGATCATATTTGTGCCCATTTTTCCCCTTTACTCTCCCAGAAAGGGAGATTCAACAGAGTGTGGGCATTTCTGAACATTACCGTAACTATCACATGCATGTAAAATCTTGAAGATGACAATTAAGATGCAGCTGGAGATAGTACATTGACAGGGAACTGCCAGAGTTTCAAGCTAGGTTCAGAAGAGTCCCTGGAACAGGGGATATCATCGTTTATATCAGATGCATGTTGGCTGAAAGCAGAGAATACAAAAAAGATATTTCCTTGTGTTTTATTGGCTAAGTGAAGAAACCCAACTCTGTAGAACATGGTAAATTACAGGTAAAATTGAGAAGACTGGGACTTCAAGAAGCTTTAATTGTGTAAATGCAGAATCTGTACTTAGACCCAGAAGTAGTTGTTCAAATAGAACAAGGTGTTTGTTGTTGTTGTTGTTGTTGTTATTACGTGCTGCCAAGTTGACTATAACTGACTCACAGAGACCCTATGAGCATTGGCTCTGAACCTTGCCTTATCCTAAGCAAACCTCATCACCTCTGACACATATGACCCAATTTCCACAGTCACTCTGTCAATTCATCTCATCCAAGGTCTTCTTCCCCCAACATTCTACCTTTCAAAGCATGATGTCTTTCTCCAAGAACCAGTCTCTCCTAGCAAGCATAATGGAGCTTCAAAATTCTAGCCTCCAAGGAGCAAACTGGTTTCACCCTCTCCTGGACAGACCTGTTTCTTCTCTTGGCAGTTCATTGTATGTTCAATACTCCTTTCCAGCACCACAACTTAAAAGCATCATTTCTTCAGAAGCACTTTAGTCTCTAGACTGACGTTGTGGCTTGTTAGTGTTCTGGAGAGATCTTTGACAGCACATTTCCCCACTTTTATTTCCTCGCTGCTAGTGCCAAGAAAATTGTGAATCCAAGCAAGATTAAATCATTAGCAACCTTAATCTTTTCTCCTTTTGAATCCATTTGGAAAGGATCTTTGATGTCTTTATATTAAAATGTAATTCATCTTGAA